GTTATTGATGTCTGGAATTTTTTAATAAATACTTATAATATGTTACTGATAGAATAGAACACTGATGTGAATTCAGAATTAATTTAGTAAACTTCTATTAGCCTGAAATTGATTATTATGGAACAGGTTTGCGTCGTTGCATGAAACATATTGACATTTTATTAAATTTACTACAAAACTGTTAGTTATATTAATACTGTTATTCATAAAGAATTTTGACGTCTTATTAAATGTACAGTAAACTTTTAGTCAATTATAACACAAGATTCCCATAAAGTTTTTTTTAAACAAAATGGCAATATAAAAAAAAATACCTTTGAAGGAAACACCTTAAAGAATTGTTAGAGTATTTCCAATTATTATTTTTTTTTACATAATTTAACAGCGTGAAAATTCCTTCGCTTTGTACAATAAAATATAAATTGGAACTTATGTAAAGGAAAATGTTGTGGTGCTATATTGATGTACTGAAAATTTAAGACTTCTCCTCAAACTTATTTATAATTTCATCAAAAAACTCTAAATGTTACTGGAACGTAAGTGCAAGGGAATTAGCATTATGTTAATACATGTCGTTGAAAATTTAATTAAATAGAATTAAAAACAAATTATTAACTTATCATGTTTGGAAGTATAAAAAAATTTTGTTTTGAGAACTCCTCATTTTAAGTTAGTGAAGGCTTCATGCCTTCGCAAGTCATTGCAGAAAGTTCTGTAACTTTCTCATTTATAAGAGTTTCTCTTATAAATGGAAAGAATTATCTTGCTTCTAGCACGTCTTAATCTTGTTCCTTCAACTTTTCCAACTTTCCCTCATCATATTGATACTATTTGTATGTTCTGAATTTTTTGAACCTTTTTTTTTAATTTTAGGTCATTATAGGGGTATTTTGGGGCTTTTCTTTTTTACACTTTATATCCTAGTACAGGGCTGTCCAACTGGCGGCCCGCGGTCCGCATGCTACCCGCCAACACATATTGTGCGACCCGCCAACTTCTTATTCAGACTGATCGGCCTCAGTTTTCCCATTAAAATGTAAGCAAATTGTTTTATAATCCTTCTGTTCCATTGTTTTATAATTAATAATTCAACTGTTAATTGTTATTGTATAAGAGGTAAGAGGTTAGTGTTCAACTTTTTCAAACTGCTGCCCCCCAGGTGATCAGTGACCGGAATTCTGGCTCGTGGGCTCTTTGCAGTTGAACAGCCCTGTCTTAGTACATGCTTTAGAATTTTTCTGGATAATTTTTTAGAAGAGTTTCATTTCAACTTCCTTAATGTAAGTATTTCATTGGGTTGTTTTAAAAGAAATTTCCTTTTTTCAAAGTTTCATTGTATTTTTCACAGCTAACACTTGAGTCGTATAATCATTATATATTTTGAAAGCTGATATTGGAAAGCTTACTAGTGAAAAAATTCTATTAGTTTTACGCAGTAATTATTGGTCGGAATCCCTTCAAATAAAGAAAGTGAAAAGCAGCATTTTCGGCATATTTTACTTTTTTCTATTGAAAAGGTAAAAATACTGTACAAGCAAGAAAAAATTAACTGAAGTGTATGGAGGAGATGTTTTGACAGTACGCCAGTGCTAAAACTGCTTTCATGAAAACACAATAAAGGTAATGCAAACTGGCGAATAGCAACCCGCGAGATAGTTAAGAGATTAAATTTTTTGATCATTTTAAGCGCCTAGGTTTATTCTCAAAGCTTGACATATGGGTACCCCATGTTCTTACGGAACGAAATTAGCGCTGACACGTTAGACATCTGCGATTTGCTTCTCATACGTCAAGAAAATTATCTATTTTTGAAGCACGTCATTACAGGGGACGAGCAATAGTTTGTCTACATCGGACCTCTAAAATATTTTAGACCATAATACCTTTACTGCAGATAAAATAGTCAAAGGCCACCAGGATCAGTTTTTTACCAGCAAAGAACAAATATTTTTTGAGCTGGAAATTAAGCTAATAGATTTTGCTTTAACAAATATTTACTCTATTGATAAAATAATCAGAACATAAATTGTAATAAAATATTTGCTAGTAAGCAAGGTAGAAGAAATTAGGGATAGAGTTTCCTTTAACGAAGAGCATTTTGTCTTAATTTCGGAAAAACATTTTAAACAAATTGAGTCAAGTCCCATCAAAGCATCAGATGTTAATCAAATGCGTCATAAAGTTCAACGTTTCACGACGTAATAGTGGCAGTGTGGAAGTGACTAACAACTAACATTGCACACCGACTGCCTTTACTTTCCAGATAAACTGGTACCCACCGATTTAAAAATGAGTTGAGCTACAAACATGCGACCTGGAATTACAGAATGGCTACTCAGTGCTTTAATTGCTGTTCCATCTCGGCTTAAATTAGTTTAGGCAAATATACTATTATATGCATTTTAAACCAACAAAATTATATTTCCTTGCATATTTTAGGGAAATTTTTCAGTTTTACTGGATTACCTTTTCTCAAACTATAATTATTTTTTTAAAGAAGGTAATTTATTGTATATAATTATATAGTTGAAAGGCTTGGATTAATATATCGATAAGCCACATTGTCTAATTATTCTGAAGGTTCACATTATTAGGTGAAGAATTCCACGACTTCCACATAGGCCAGTGTTTCCCAAAGTGTAGTACGCATACCCCCAGGGGTACGAGGACAGTTTAGCGGGGGTAAGCGTTCTTATGCGAAATATCTTGCATCAAACAAAAATTTCAAAAATTTTTATTTAAAAACAAAGCTAGCCATAAAACTTTACGATTACGCATTTTTCTAATGGCTATTTCTTGCAGAGTTCACAGTTAATAATTATTGGTGTCCACAGCCAGTTGTGATTTTTAACTTTTATGCAATTTTTTTATAGTAAAAAATATATTCATTTTTTTATTAGTGGTATACAGCTTTACGAAAAAATTAGAAAGGGTACACAAAAGTCATAAGTTTAGGAAACACTGATCTAGGCAATTAGATGTTTCTGTGTATTTTGCTGTTATCAGTTAAAAATTCCGAAAACTTCTGAAAAAATATAGCTTGAAACAAGGTACTAAGGTACAGTTTAATTATAAAATTAGGGGAAAAAATGACTTATCAATGCATTGTAATTCAAAACTAAGCTTAGTCTTTATCTTTTCATGCAAATTCCAATGTTTTGGTTTAAAAAACTTGTGTTTTTAGAAATTCACGGAACATATAAAAAAAAAAAAAAAAAGTTATTCGTGTGCTCTATTAAATGACGAAAATTTTATTAGTTATGATTAACAAACAATTATAAGTACATATCCATTTCTCCTGACTTACTAAGATTTATGAACTCATACCCTAATCGATACAACTTCTTGCATTCCAAAATTAATCTTATAAAATAGTATACATAAAAAAGGAAGCATAAAAAATGAAGTGACACTTATGTCATGTCAATAACGTTGAGTAATTAATTCCACGATTACAATTAGAAATTATAATTTTTTTCTATTAGCGTGATTAAAATAAATTTTAATTGTTCACATTTGGCACTAAGGTGTTTCAGACAGCGATACCATCTTCATAAAAAAAAATTTGACAATTAGGGGAAAATGGGGTTTGACCGAATACCTCTATTTTGACGAAATTAGTTCTGTTTTTTAGCAAAGAAACTCTGAATTAAATTTTACTAGTCAAGAAAAAGGATCTACCATATTGGTGTTTTGTTGTTTATTAATTTAAAGCTCTTGTTTAGATAACTTGGTATTATTGTGTCGAATTTCTAATATTCTCTTGTACATTACCCTTATTTATTGGTCGTTACTATCATAAAAAATTATTTTTAGTCCAGCTTATTATAAGTTTACTAAAGATTCTTACCCTAACAAACAATACAGATTTAGACCGCTCTGTTCTGTTTCGTTTCGATAATCTCTGCTCGCTGAGTAAAACCGGATGCTACTCGGTTCGGCTCACCCCCTTTGATATGTGTCTAAGCCGGGCCCACCAAAGCTGGAGAGCAGCGAATTAAGAATTTAACTATTTCCAATGCGGAACAATGGTTTTACCGGCCCCAAGACAAAATTTATTGTAGGCTTCTTCCTCAAAGCACAAAAAGCTTTATTTTCATATTTTGTGGAAATCTTGTAAACCCTTTATTAAAGATGTAGATTTTATATAGATACAAAGAAATTATCTGCCATTTTCTTTTGAAAAAGCATTAATCACTATATTTTTTGTAATGAAATTTTTTCGTGCCCTCAGACGTACCGAGCCCCGAGGCAGTAATCCCTCCCTTTCCCTCACCCCACTTGAGCAAGGACTTGATTACATCACATATAAGTTACATGCGTAATTTTTATTTTAAATTGTCAGTTCTATGCTAGTTCTATACGTCACACGTGGGTCAAAATCGTGAATTTGCTCTTTAAACTCCTCGCTGATAACTCTTTTTTGATTACTTTAAAGTTTGCTAACAAAGGTTTTGATAGCTTATATTTTCATTGGATTTTTTTAAAAATTTAAATTACATGCATTCAATTAATGTGATTTCCTTTACACATGATGATTTTGTTTTTCTAAAAAAAATTATTTTTAACAAAATGCGAGATATGGAAAGAAAAATTATTTAAACTTTATCATTCAATTTATTTCATCATTCAATGTATTTTATCATTCAATTAAACCACAAGACCAACTACATTAGTACTATGCGTAATGAAATTAATTTTATGACTAAATTAATCGGTTATGAATTTAGGCCGGCGAATATAAAAAAGTTGTTTTGAGAAGACGACATTTTGTAAAAAAAAAATATATTTATTCCTCAATGCAAGTGCAATGCACAAAGTTGTGAAACTTTTTTTCATTTATTGAGTTTTTAACTCATAGTTTTAAAACTTCACTCGATAAATTACGTAAAATTAAAATACATATGCATAAAAGCTTATTTGTTGAAATATTCACAATTCCCACATAACCCCATTCTCTAAAACATCAAATATATATTTTAACAAAATAAAATACTTACTTGGACAAAATCAATTCTGACAGTTGGCGAAAAGTTTATATCATTCCACGTTATTTTTTGTTTACAAAACAGGAAATGGAATTTTCGTGATTATTAGAATTTCACTTTCACATATAATCTCGTAAATCGTATATTTTCTGGAAATGATTAGGAATTGCAAGGAATTGAAATTAGCACTCTATCAAAATTCCGACTAAAGTTTCAATGACAGGATTCATCATTGACGTAACAGTGTTTCCTTGTAAAAGTATCAAATCCTCTTCCGATCGGAGAATCTCAAAGATCGAAATCTGATTTAGACGGATATGCTTTATCAAAGTTAATCATAAAATATGAAAGGAAACTTCGTAGTTTCCTAAATTTTACAATACGCACTCAACATATTTAAACCATACCTAAGCATCAAAAGTTTTCAATTGTATAATAAGCCCTAGCTCAGGTTTGAAAGCAGTTTATTTAAGATAAGAATAATTCCCTCATCGAAATCAGTTAGGCAAAGTGGAACTTTTAAATTGATTTTATTATAATTTCATCCCTAACATTACATACTGAAAACATTGCTATTGCTTTTATTTCATTTCACGAAAGCTGAGGGGGATGGGTGATTCTTTCTGAACATGACAATTCGGACCAAAAAATTTCTCCAAAATGAAAATCTTCAAAATAATCTAAAATTGTTTTTGTATACTTCTTTAGTTACACTTATATCTTAGAGGCAGCAGTGTAGTTTATTGACATTTGCTCGAGAAAAAAAAAATAGAAATTCACCAAATCTTGAATGCCAGGAAAATGACATATTAGCTTAGAAGTTTAAAAAACAGTCATTTTAAGTTAATAGTAAGTAACTCAACTTAGGCCTTTATGTTAGATAAACCATAAATTGCTTAAATTAATTCTTTTCATCCACTGTAGGAAGAATCAAAATTTTTTCGTTGCTGATATGTACAGAATAAAATTGTGTATAATAATCAATCATTAGATAAATAAATAACTTTGATTACACTCAAGTATATTACAATCATACATGAACTTGGTATTAGGTTAATATTTGCTTTCCGTCCTTACAGTATTAGCAGTTAAAAAAAATTTCTGGTAACATTTTAATGTCCTGGCATTCATAAGCCAGGAAAATGACAGCCAGGATAATATGACAAATTCGCCCTTTTATAGCATATAACTTTACTTTAATTTAATATTTTGGCCTAAGACGTTTATATTCTGCAGAAAATAACAGGATTTCCTAAAATAACTCAGATAAATCTATTTAGTTTATGTTCTTAATGATTTCAAGAAGTCAGGAAAATGACAACACAAAAACCTACTCACTTTGAAAAATATTTTTTGAATAAGATTTTGAACCAGAAAATTGGTTCTTTATTCATGCAACAAGACATGTTCATATAGGACGGCATCTAATCAATCTATTAACATAAGATATTGATTGCTGGCTCAATCTATTTTGGTTATAAACCACTAAATAAAAGGAGCCAGGAAAATGACAGATTTTCTTGGGACAAACAAATTATTGGCAGAAAAAAAAAATTTTAAAGGAAGTTTTTGTAAATAATACCCTCTGCGTATATTCCAGAAATGCTTACACCGGTTGAGATTAAAAAAAATTAGATATTGAAAAATTTATGGGAAGTTTTGAAGCTAGTTATTATTGGAAACATTGTTTGGGACATACCAGGAAAATGACATTTTGAAGTTCAATTAAATTTTTTAACTATACAAAACAGTCAATGCTAGTGCAAAGTCATTTTAAAATGCCAACAACAATGCTATTTATTAATTTTTTAAAAAAAAAAGTTCTTTTAGCATTATAGTATTAGATCTTGGAGCAAGGGACAATGAATTGGCATATTTCGTGAGAATCACCCATATATATACATTACGAAAAGGTAATTAAGATTTAAATGTAGAGAAAACACTGTTTTCCAAATTTAACGAATCACTAATGAGTAAGGTGGAACTGTAAACATCAAAACCTCCCTAAATGGTGAGGAAGACATTAAATTCAAAAGTAATTGCCAGAATTCTAAAAATAATTCTTATATTAAAGGTGATCATTACTAAACACCCTATTCATGATAACGATTATACTGATTATGATATTCAAATCTTATTACGATTCACTTTGAATATTCAATTATAATCTTAGTACGGTCGGTCAATGTGTCCACTATAAGATTTAGTAAATTTTAGAGATAATTTTCAATCAAAGTCATTAAAATATGCAAGGTACTTCGTAATACGTACCTAGTTCTATTCAAAATATGAAGTAAGACACTATGTACATTTGCGGTTGCAATTTAATAAAGGCAAAAACCATTTCTGAACTTCAACCAATCATAGTTACGGTCGGAAAGAGCAATGGGTGATGAATAAAAATTGGAAAAATCCAGTTCTCCGTTTGTGTAGTTGAAATTTATGGGCCTTTATGGCGTCTTTTTGAAGGGGTTTTCCTTATGTCTCTTTGATATTAGAGTTACAAAATATATTTTTTGCACACCACCGTGGTGGATGTAACTTTGTGTCTCCTAAATTATCTTCTTAAAATAAAGTAAATATCGATTCTAACTCATAGTAAACTTTCTTGTAATTGAATATAAACTGAATTTTTCAAAAATATCTTCTTCTTCCATCAACATGATAGCCTAGTACAAGACAGAGCAGTCCCAACTAGCAGTCTCCATCTAAAATACCTCTTTACTTTTTACTATTTAATATTTTTTTAAAAAATATTGTGGCAAATCAAAAAGAAAAATCCATAATAAAATTACTTTGATACACTATTATTAACCTTTTTTTTTTATTATTTCTATTGTTGTTATTTATAATGAAACGTTAAAATCAATATGGAAGAAATTATTCAGGACTTTGTCTTTAAATGTATCTCTGTTCGTATCAACATCAGGTGATACGAACGGAGTGAATTTTTTTTCTCTCAAATTATTCAAAATCTAAAATTTATAAAGTTTATAAAAATAAAAAAATAAATCTTTCTCTCTCTCGATCTTGATTGGTTGCTGAAACGGGCATTTGTTTACGTTAACAACTGTACTTTCCATACTATTTCGAGTAAGATAAAACAGTCAAGCAAGTTAATATTCTCTTAAGTGACTCATTCTATATTCTTTCACAAAGATTCTTTCACTATATATCCCAAGGTAAATGTTAAAGCTCGCTTGAAATAGAAATATTTTTATTAGAATTCAGGCACAAAAAATGTCTAAAAAAATTTTATTGTAAATTTAATTACACAAATTTTGATTGAAAAATTGTGATCTTAGATGGGGCTGTGTCTATTTCCAGTCTATTTCAAATAAGCTAAGCCTGTCAAGTATCAATTATCTGAAGTGATACATTCTAGATTCCTTCACAAAGATTTCAGTTCTTTCATTATATATTTTTTATTTAACACAAGGACAGGCTCAGAGCCCTGTAGAACATAAACTAATGATGTATCGAAGTTGTCAGGTACAAAAAGCAAAAATATATCACGGTTACAATGAAATACGTAAGCAAATAATAAATTTAAGTTAAGTAGAAGACGTACGTGAGAAAGAATTATATTTCAACAAATTCGATGTGCGATACGACTCAGTATTCAATTAACTTCGTTATTAAATACGTCGATTTAATTAACTTCACGTTAAATAACATTCTAACTTGCGTGGAGAAACTTAGCTCAACTTTAACTCACCATTTATCTTATAAACGATGGGCTAACGCTGACGTCATAGGTCAGATGTGTGGGTATTTGTGATCTTCTTCTTCCTCTTCTTCTTGAAGAGCAAGTATTCAATTACTATATTTATTTCACAAATATGCTCACTGGAACATTTATTTTAATAACTTAACTAGTTTACACGCGCTACTCTTTACATATGGGTTTCAACTTTTTGAAAAATGGTGTACAAGGTATGATGTGTGATTTGGAAATGATGTGTTAGGTAAGATGCATTCAAAACGATTTCTTATCTTGACAAAATATGTATTTTAGTAATTTGCATGTTTAAGTTCATGTTTCATGACAAAAATTCCTCTCTTTAAAATAGTATTTCATTGCATTTGAGTTGTAACTTTTTATAAAAATGGCAGTCAAAGATTTATTTTCATTAAAAAGTGATTGAGATTCTAATAATATGAAGCAAACTTAAAAATTTTATTTCAGAAATTTGCAATACATTAGCGGTCCATATCATAAAAATGAGTCAGAAAATTTTCAAAAAAGTTTAATCAATCCATAATATTTACTTCAGAGAAAAAAATTAGCAGACATTTATTCTTAGTGAATAATAGTTTTTATAATAGTTTTTACTCATGTTCTTCTTTAACCCTTTCTGGTTCAGTGTTGCTAGACGAACAACATTTATTTCACAAACATTATAAACCACGCTCCACTAAAAATGTATAACTATTTGTTTCGAAATAACGTTCACCGTTTTTCAAAAACCACTATTTTTTACGCAATATAGAGCTCATGTATGTCCCTCCACATAGAATTAACGAATGGTCTCCCGTTTTATCATGACACAGTAGGGAACAGAAGTTTTGAGATAATATGTTTTTCTGTTCCAAGTTTTTCTATAAGCAAAATTTCCTCATGACATTGACATTCACCATCTAACCTTAAAAAAAAACAGGCCCAACCGGAAGTTTTAGGCTCTATAACGTTGTAGGTGGGCATGACTAATATA